AAAAGGCAACTAAGATGAAAAACTTTTAATTGCTTATTATGTCCCTATAAAAACTATTAAAGACACTTATATCCTTATTTATTTAATTACCTAATATTAATTAAATATTCAAATGACTCTCCATATACTTCCCATTTCCACAAAAATTATTATTCTATGAATTGTAATTTTTTTTTAAATTCCCAAGTTAATAACTCTATATCTCTCATTTACTTCTCACAAACCTTTTAGTTTACAATAAATCCATTAATCATCTTTACTTTACGGAGAATAATATATTGTCATTAATACAACTATTACGTCATCATTAACGGTCATAAAGCCTATTTTGTCATTCATCTAATATGAACTGATGTATAGCTTTGCAGACGGTATAAATTCTCGGCGATAAATATATCAATTAATCAAATAGAATTTGAATCATTTCATCTTTCATTTTCTAGCTAAGTGGACAACTAATGACCAAATATTCGATCCCATGAATCTCAATCATATATTAATCGTAAAACCATTCAATTCCTCTCCCATTCTCTCATACTCACGTCTCTTATCTTGCTCTTTTCATATGATTTATGTTTTACTTGGAGCTAAACTTGCACTAACATCTTGAAAAAATTCTTCTTGATTTGTTATATGTGCTTAACCAAATTAAGTATTTTTTACTTATGAACAAGCATGATCACTGTGGAAATGGCGTCCTTCCATGGTAATAGGTTCATTTTGTGTTTAGTACTGAAACTCATTTTGTGTATTTAGCATTATATATCATGTGTAGAGAAAATTGTGTGATTTTTCTCATGCATTGAGATCATCCATCATGTGGATAATGGTTCGATTAGATTTTTTGAATTGCTTTAGGGCATAAGGTACCAAATATTAATATTCAATAATATACATTTTACTATTTGAATGTGGTAATTAAAAAAAAAAATTTAGTATGTTCATTATAGATTTTTGTTGGTAATTTTTTTTCTAGGATGTTCATAAAGTATATATGGCATTTCTTTTTATATATAATTTAATATTTGTCTTTCACTAAATAATAAAGCAATTAGTGTTCACAAGTTCTTTGTTTTTGTCATCGGAAATATGATAGTGAATTTTAAGGTAGATCATCCCAAACTTATCACAATGTTTGCTATACTTTTAGAAATGACGAATATTAGCTTTAGAGTAAACTATTGAGATTCTAATTTTACATGTTAATATGTGGCTAAATTTATTCATGAATCAAGTTTCACTAGATACTACACAAAATGTGTAGGCAGAGTTTATTTGTATAGCTGACCTTATTTCTTAATCTTTATAGGAATAATATATTTGAAATTGAAAATGATCTACGTACAATGCATTTGTATAAAAAAAAGTTCACATTTATTTAAAAAACAAGTAAACTAAAAACTTGTAAATAGTAAGATATTTGAATACAATCATCGATAATTTTGAAAAAATACAATAAAACAACTATACCATTCTAAATTGAAACCTGGACTACTTGTTTTTTCTTCTTATTACTAGATTATGTTGTGCAACATTTTTAATTATATAACAATATAAAAATAAAAATTTGAATAATATGATATGTCATTTAATATAATCATACACATAATTTAAGTTCCTTTTTATAAATTGTGCAAAAATAAATTACTTAAATTTGTTCATGTGTAACGCATGTGGTGCATTACTAGTATAATAAAGTAGAGCGAAGTTTGAATCCAAAAACAAAGTGCGGTTGAGATCATTTTGTGATAAAATAAGACCACATCCGACGAATGTCGCTATCTCAATCTGTCACAAACTATTGACGTCTCAAATAATTTCAAAATATTTGATATGACGCACCAGACTAACACTCAAAATTTTATCCCGCCTAAAAAATTTATTTTTTGAATGCCCCCCATTCCACCCCTCAATTACGGCCTATGTGCTCTCACGCCCTAAATCAAACGCATACACCAAGTAACACCCTCTCTTTCTTCCTAGAATCTCATACAACTACACCCACTCCATCATCTCATCTCATCTCTCTCACGATCTCTATTTGTCTCTACAATTCAGACACACACTCAAAGCCAACACCACAAATTCACGCAATCACAAAGATTGACATAGTCACAAACACAGACAGATTCAACCAGTCACACAGAAGACGCACCCCTTCGCCATCCGCACCGACATAAAGGCATCTCCCTCTTCTCTCTCCCTCTCTCTGTCTATTCTCTACATCTTTCTGCTCCTCTCGCTCGAAGCTCCACAAGACAAAACAATCACCTCCTAAAGTAGGACCCAAAAGAGATGAGTGATTTGAGCTTGGTAAGTGGAGTTTCTTGATTAAGCTTTCTTTAGTATGAGTGATTTTATTTGGTTGCAGAGGTGTCTCACTCACACCTTAATTTTGTCATTTCTTTTGGAAAATTTTGATTTAATTTATTTTAGATCCTATTACTCATTATTGCTAATTTGGTTCCACTTTGTTCAATTTTTTTTCCAGATGCTTTTAAACCCCAAAAGACACATTTTTGCAATCCCCCATTTTGTTTGTTCTTTCAATTTTTTTTTTTTTTTTTGCTAACTACTGATTGTAATTTTCTTTTATAGATTGTCCTCGATGAACATCTATTTGATGAAAACCTTATTTGTGAACTCAAGCATTTGTGTATTTGACGGACTGTTGGGCTTGATATAGTATAAATAACATTGTAACTAAATCTATAGTGCTACTGCTACTGCTTTTATATAATCTTAACATAGTGCTACTGTTGTTCTATTGGAACCTACCTTCAATATGTAACATAGACTGTGTTGACTGTTTCGCAGCATGTTGACTGTTTCGCAGCGGCTTTTGGGATCTTCCAAACATTTCGGACAATGACCATTTAAGATCTTATGCTTTTTCTACAATTTACGATATGGCGGTGGTGCATAGTTGAAATGGGTTATGATATGGTTACATCTTTTGAGTATTTAATTTTATTTGTTTTTAATTATCACCAGCGACCTCCTCCAAGTAGCGATAATGCGAGATGAAATGCAAGTGATTGGACTGGGATATCAATTCTCATGCCGCAAAAGTACCGTTTGTTCTATAATTTTCAGTAAAAATGGTTAAGCTCTTGATTTTTTTAATTTCGATTTGGTTCTCTTGATTTCTTAACTTGGTGTCCTCTTGAACACTTGCTTTTTATGCACACCACCATGTTACACAAATATATATATATATAGATATATATAGTTCTAGCGAATACATATATTTATCTATCAATTTTTAATGGGACATGCTTAATGATAATCAATCTTCTTTAAGTAATTATGGTACATGTTTAATGGGACAATCAATCTTCTCTAAGTAATTATTTATACTTAATACGATTGCTTATTTGCTTATTTACTTTTTGAAAGGTAGCTCTCTAATTTTTTTGTTTTTCTACGGAGGAAACTTGTTCCATTAGTGTAAATACTAATTGAAATGACTATGTTGGGTTTGATATAATAACTACCTTCAATATGTAACTAGATGTAAAAGTTTGTTCCATTGATAGCCAATTTGATGCAATGATTATTTAAGTTTAGCTCAATTGGTATTTGTGGGTACTATGATTTTTTTTGTTTTTCAAAGTTTTTACCGTTTACTAATTTTTTTGGGTTTGGTTTTTTATTTTGACGATTTTGTTGTGTTAGATCATCTCCAACGGAAACCTTAATCCTTACCCAAATATAATTTTAAAAATGGGTAAAAAACTTGATTTGGTATAGACATCTCTAATGGAGAAACTCAAATTTAACAGAAGATAAAATATGACCATTGGATCTTTAAAGAAAAATAAAATCTCACCATTAAAGATTTGGGTATGGATTTGAGCCTCTCTTGATTTGAGTAAAAAAAATGAGTCTCCCTTGATTTGATATGGGTATGAGTCTAGCATTGTAAAAGGTTTTTAGCAGTTTTTTACCTAAATTTAAATTTAGGTTTAAAAGAGGGTAAGAATTGAAGATGCTCTTACACCGGGCCTTCAGGAATAGGCATTAGTTAGTATTTTCATAAACCATTACGAAAATGTGTCAAAATTGGAGAATTTGAGATTCCATTAGTGTGGTGCATCAGCACCAAATCCATCCGAATATCCAGTAATTGCTACTTTAGGATTTTAAGTTTATGCTCAGCCGAACCATGGATAATGTTACGCATCATGAAATCTGTATAAATCTAAGGTAAGAAAGCAATTTATATTTGCACTGTGAAATCCATAATGCTAATTAGATTACTTCTACAAAATATATTATAAAGCCCAAAAGAAAATGAATATGAACTAGAACCCAAAATTGGAGAGTTATGAACTCCACTAAATGCGCCATCCACATCCAAAGAACAACAATGAACAAACACAGATCACCAACATCTATAGCCCGACAAAAATGGCACAACACAAAAATACTTGCTCAAACAAAATGGAGATCTTCCAAATCTTGTTTCCAAAACAAACATTGAAACCAAACAAATGCTCAAAAGGAGAAGGAAATGACAATATTTTCATAGCTAAATAGAATTACCACAATTGTTAATGCTAACTTTAAATTATACTACGAAAAGTCAAACATGCATGTACATACGTAAATATATTCCCCAACTTAAATTACTAAATCATATATGATTGCAAAGCCTAATCTTATCCCCAAATTCAAATCGAAAGTGACTTCCACAATGGGTATTATCAATCAAGTACAATAGAATTTTGTATTATTGCAGCAGGAATAAGATAAATTACAAGTAGTCCTTAAATGGAAAATAAAAAAACTTCACATGGAAGATTTATAGCTGTAGCTAATAATGGCATACTGATTTGAATTAATGGTGAAACAGTTGCCAAGTAATTTGAGAGGCATACCTTCGGTCTCCGTATATTTGAAAAAATCCTGGACTGAGAACAATTTCTTTTTATCAGGATATTCTTTGGAAGGCCGCACTAACTGAGGTACAAGCTCAATTAGTTCTGTAAATGAGACAGTGGACAGAGTGGATCTCAAACGCTCAACATTTGATAATGGAATACTAAGTAACCCACTAGCCAGCTTTTGTGGTGAAATGCCTCCACTATCTTCCCGGCAGCCGATATTAACACCATCGGATCCCTCCTCCTTGACAGAAGAAGTAACACCAACGATAGTTGACGGAACACCTCCCACCCTAGCAAACTTCAAATTTCCCAAAAATCCATTGAAATCTGCTCGTTTACCCTCCAACATACTAGTGATTGCTTTCCAATGATTGAACTGAGTTGTAGGAGAAGGTGTTAATGAATCAGTACACTTGCAATCAGTATCCTCATCACCTGGGTCAAGCTTTTGAAGAGTTTGAGTTAACTGATCAAAGACAAAGCCTATAAAGCATTCAAGCGACATATTCTTCCCTTCTTTATCTTTTGGACCCCCATCACGAAACACCATACCTGGCTGACCCCTGAACTCGCTTTGCTTTAACTCACACGAAACGCTTGATTTGGTCGCCATTGCCCATGAATAAGTACAAACTTTATCTTCGTTACTCATTTTCTGAGACCTCTTTTTGTTTGTCTTAAACGGACTTGGAAATGCTTGAACAAAACCATTAAGCAACAACGAACAAGTCACCGCAAACTGCAAGCAATTCATGCAACTCCAATCCTCTTTGACACTATCCTTTTCTTTTGACACTTTTCTCGATATGTCAACCCTTTTATGTCCATTACTCCAACAATTTTGCGAAAACATTCCAAAGAATGTCTTAACTGGTACCTTTATTGACAAACCTTTCTTTCTCTCATCATTAACCACAAACTGACTACTCTTCTTCTTCACAGAAGATAACTGAACCTTATTACTATTCTTATCCCTTTTCCCATTCAATTTTGCCATACCCAATTCATGGTTGTCATTGGCCCCATTTTTCAAACCAGGCCAGCAATGTTCAAGGTCTTTAGCCGTTTTCCAAATACCAGATTCCAGCGGCAAAAATGCATTTTTCACAACTTGAAGTGAATTGAAAAAGGAGTCAACTGGGTCATTCGCAGACAACATCACTCAAACCCTAGCTCACAATCACTTCTATATGTTCAGATGTCTCAACGTATATTCAAATCTGAAATTCAAGTCTTAAAACATGCATGCCCCCTCCAAACTCCACAGATCAACACAAAACCCAATAAACAACGTAATCTTCAAACAAAATCAAACAATTAACGAACCCTACTTGTACAGACACACAAAATCACATCGATATTCCATTGCAATCCACAATCAAATTGAATATAGCTGAATCTGTGAAGTCTTGAAAACTTATATATATGTCTATACACAGATAGGATTGAAATGAGAGCTACACAGTGCAGTTAACTGCGTATATATGTACATATATACACATATTTCCAATCTGAAATGCACAAGCAGTGATTTACAGATACAATTGTTTTACCTGCTAAATCTAGAGGAAGATTTTACAGGTGCATTTTCACTGGTATAATATCGATGAGTTTTTACACAAATCTGAGGTCTCCGAGAGAGATGATGACTGTGCAGAACCAGAACAAGTAGAAGAGAATCTTCTTTGTGATTATGTGTTTTGTTTATATAGACCAAAAAATTAAAAAATATATATATATTTCTTTTTTTGGGAAATATAAAACGTTTTCTATATTGTTTAAAACGTGACGTAGAGTCCTTGTAGGATGGACAACACATGGGCATCTTGGGGTTTGGTTGGTTGTTGGCCTTAAGACCTAAGACACCTCTCTCTCTCTCTCTCTCTCTCTCTCTCTCTCTCTCTCTCTCTCTCTCTCTCTCTCTCTCTCTCTCACTTTTCAACTTTAGCCTTAATTTTTATAATTAAATATTATTTTTCGTTTTGCTTCATAGATAAGTTATATATCTCACATTATAAAATAAAAAATATATATATACTAAAACACTAGTTGTATATAGATATGATTAGCTAGTTATAAATAAATATAAATAGTTGTAGATAGACATTGATTTAAAAGTACTCTTAAAACACATTTTTACCAAATAATTAGGTATTTCAAAAAGTCTATATTAAAAAGTTTATTTTTAAAATTATTCCAAATGCAACCTTTATCATAAACTATTGAGTTGTTGGTATAGTTGATGGCAACTCGAATTTTCTTAATCCGTGAGTTCGAATATTTACAACTCTAATAATTTAGTGGGATTAAACTTATTTTTCAGCGTTCAAAACACGTGGCAAGATTTTAACTTTGGATCTGGCATAACTACGACGAACATGGACAAGGCCAAGATTTCTACTTAGGGTGGGCAAAAATTTCAATATATATATATATATATATATATTTGAGTTATTGCAATTTTGGGAAAAAAAACATAGGAAATATAATAATAATAATTGAAACAAATTACTAGAAGCCAAAACTAGCATCATTTAGTTGAATAAGAAGTGGAATAAAAAAAATGACACAATACTTGTCCCTTAGACTGCCAAACTCAAACACCTATCCTAATACAATTTAATGCAATTTTATGTCTTGAGAATTAATAATATACATAATCAAAAAATCTATCACTAAATTTTTATATATTTTACTAAAAAATATGTTTTTGACATTATACATAACCAAAAATAATCCTTAAACCTAAAAAGTGATACCAATTTGGATGATCATTCAAATTCAATAATTCGTGTATTTTTTTTTGACTTGATAAAACATAAGGAAATAAGAAATAATTAAAGATAAACTTTCGATAAATTTCTTAATATCTAGAGAGGGTAAAAGAAAAGAATAAAAAATTAGCGGAAGGGTGGTTAAGGCAAATGGCATGGGCACCACTATACCCAAAAAGAAAGAGGAAGGGTCACTAGCGATGGGTTCTTTTACAGATAGATCGAGCTTTATATTTTAATCATGATAAAATATATAATTGAGACGACTTCAAGTTTAAAAATATATTATTTCTTGTTTACTTGCAACCGTTGTGTTGCAAATTGAGTGACGTAAGACCATTCTATCACAACTAGATTACTAGCACATGGTTACATTTTTATGATCAAATATCGTATGATACTCTTTTTTTTTTTTTAAAAAGGAGTACAACTTTACTGTCAGCCAACATGTTGCATATGATCAAATTGTCGAAAATTATTGTCATGTTGATAGTCAAAATAATTTAAATTACAATCACAAATACGTTATTACAGAGAAAAAAACGATGAAATTCAAATTTACGATTTTAAAATCTGATGACAGAACTATAGTCATAAGTACTATTTCATACTGGAGCAAATGTAGGCCAACACGTTTGGCTCAACCCTAACTACCCCACTTCTTTTCTTTTCTTTTTTTTAGTGGGTGTGGTGTTTGTTTATCAAATTTATTTATTAGAACTTATTTTTTAAATGATGTGACACAATATTCATCATTAATTTTTAATAGAACTTACTTAATCAATGACAAAAAATAAATCACGCGTTATTTGGGATATATGAAGATCTAATAAAAATATTCGATAAGCAAAACATTGCTCGTTCATTAATTTAGTGGCCGCCCAAGATAAAGTTTGTTTGGACTAATTTGCATTTATTAAGATTATTGTCTGGTTTTACTTTGTTCTCATGTAATTATTGTGTTTGTTATCCATGTGAACCCTTTTTCCTTTGAGAGAGAGAGAGAGAAACCTAGATCGAAAGTTTGTAGGGTAGTGGGTTATTGGTTCACAAAGCAAGTGCAAGTGGGAGAAAAATAGAAGAGAGAAAAAGACAGAAACCTAGATTGGGTGTTTATATGACTGTGGCTGGGTAGTTCACGACGCATGTGACCCATCCACAAAAAGGGTCTCAAAGCATGCAACGTTGAACATTTGTTGACAAGCAACATCTCATCCGCCAGGTGCATGCAGATAGAAATCATAATTTTTATAATTTAGGGTGGTTTAATGATTGAGTCTGATCTTTTATAATCTAGAGGTCTTAGGTTCAATCTTTTTCTACATTTTACAAATAGTACTGCTTTCTTTAAAAGTGTTTCTAACTTTTTTAATTGGAGGTTTTTGACGTTTTTGGAGTTGTTATCTGATGGTTACCACCTTACTACTGCCTTTTATGCCCAAGTCTCTTCATTCATGTGTGAATATTAGATCAACTAAAGTGCAGTTATATTTTTAAAACCAGTATCGCCCATTCTTTATGAATCATTTGCATCGTTTGTACAAGGACATCCAATTGATTTTGATTTCTGAAATTATAATTATCACATGCATTGGTTTTTGTTTGCAATACTGAGTATGCAAAGAGGTTGATTGATCTTGTCCAGGGAATTCCTTGCAAGATCAACCTCATATCTTTCAACCCTCATTCTGGATCCCAATTCAAACCAACCAGGGAGGAAAAGATGATCGAGCTCCATCATATTCCGGCAGAAGCAGGTTGTGTAGTTTTACTGCGACTGAGTAGAGGGGATGATTAGATGGCTGCCTGTGGTCAGCTTGGCAAGCCAGGGGAAATCCAAGCTCCATTGGTCTGAGTGCCTTTCAATTCCAAGTAGCAATTAAAACATTAGTATTGATGATGCACAAATCGGTGTTCTGCAAAATCAACAGTCAAGAATATGAACGGGTGCAGTCAATAAGTAATAAACAAGTAATTAATGATAAATCAATAAATAAAAAAATAACACGGAGATTTATAGTGGTTTGGTCCGGGTGACCTACTCCACTCTCAGGAACAACAACGGTGGCCTGGGTCTTTTATTAATGAATGAAATCGTCGAAGAGAGTATTCTCTAAGAGTATTGCAGTGCTTAGAAGGACAGAAAGAGCAATGTGTGTAGGAAGGTGTAGTATGTGTAGGAATCTCAATGCCATTGCAGAGGCTTACAAGGTGACTACTTGTGTTCTCGAGAGTAGAGTCATTAGTCGAGCTATGTATAACTCGGGAGATGGCTACTATAGTAGAAGCTTACAAGGTGGTGACTACTTGCACGAGAGCAAAGTCATAGGCCGAGGCGCCGAGCTACGTATAACTCGGGAGATGGTTGCCATAGCAGAGGCTTACAAGGTGACTACTTGCGCGAGAGTAAAGTTATAGGCTGAGCTTCTCTGTGACTAACAAGAGAGTGCGAAGTTGGAGATATAGTTTGTTGAAGAGCAGTTGGTACTTGAGTGGCAGGCACGAGAGGATGTCGCTGAGAAGTTGAGGCTAGCGCATGAGAAGGCTGCCTAACTTTGAGGCTGACCTTCGAGTAGCACTTGAGAGAGCTACTAGGACAAAGGATCACTCCATAAAGATGGAGGAGATGAGGAGGGCGCCAAGGAGATGAGTAGGGCGCTAAGGAGTTGGGCGCCCTAGGCTGGGCACCTGGTGCTGGGTGCCTGAAACTAGGCCCCTAATGATGAGCGCCTCCTGCTGGGCGTGGACGCCGAGGGGCTCTGGGCATTTTTGATTGCGGACACCGAGGGATGATGGGTGCCACTGGGCATGGACGTCGAGAGACGTTGGTGCCAGGAGTGGAGAGGTCTTTCTTGGGTGACGTGTAGAAGGTGGGTGATAGCCAACCTAGGCACTATCGACCTGGATGATGCCAACCTGGGTGCTGGCTTAGGCGGCGCCTGCTACTGGATGTCTGAAGCTGGGCACTTGATGAGAGGGCCACTGTTGATTTCTTTAGCTTCGTTCCCTATAAGAAACCAATAGTAGTTGGTAACAGGGAGAGCCTTACTTATAGTGATTGTGGCTCACGGAGTAGTGACTGATCGTCGGAAGTGTGACTACTGTTGTCCTTTTATCTACACCTTGTTGTTAAGTCATGTTCTGACTTTTATAAGCTTTTTGTAAATTTTAAAAAAACAAGATAATTCTAGACACAATAATCTTCGCAGAATTTTATTTCATAAGATAATAAATAACAAAATAAATATGTTAAAATAATAAAGGATAGATAAATCTTCTGGTGCTCGGTGTCCCATAGGTGGATCGAGGCTTTCTCGGCGGGGTTCGAATCATCTTCTCCTTCTAGCCCCCAGGAGATCATTTGAATTTCTCCAAGGGATTGTTGGCGTTCTTTGTCATCCTGGTCCCGACCAGGTGGCGGGGCTTGTCCTCTGTCACCAACATACTGCCTCAAATGGCCACGTTGTATGAGTTTCTCAATCTGTCTTTTAAGATCAAAGCAGTCATACGTATCATGGTCGTGGTCGCGGTGGAAATAACAGTACCTGATGGGATTTTTGTCGTTTAGGACAGACTTCATTTTTCTGCGCCAACGGAGCGTGGATCATCCTGTATTTAGAACAGGATATGTTCTACGGAAGTATTGAGCGGCGTGAAGGCTTGTCATTCTCTCAGAGGTGGGGGACTAGGGCGATCCTTGGCATAGATTTTTCTGTCCTATTTCTCTTGTTATCTGCTTCTCTCTTGTCTTCATGGTGGGAGGACTCACCTCGTCTGGCCTTGGTGACATCCTCGGCGTTCATATACTTTTGTGCCCTTGACAATAACTTAGGCATGCTGGATGGTGGCTTCTTGAGGACGAAGAACATGAAACTGGAGGTGCGAAAATCAATGATAAAGGCAGTCAGT